GGGTGGGGTAGGGGGGGGCGGCTTGATGGAGGTGCTTTCACGCGTGCATGGCTGTGCATGGCTGGCGCATGACTGTGCATGGCTGTGCTTGACAGTGCATGACTGTGCATGGCTGTGCATGGCTGTGCATGACTGTGCATGGCTGTGCTTGACGGTGCATGACCGTGCATGGCGGTGCATGGCTGTGCATGGCTGTGCATGGCTGTGCATGGCTGTGCATGACTGTGCAGGGCTGTGCATGGAAGTGCATGGGAGTGCATGGCGGTGCATGCAAGTGCGCTGCTGGTGCCGGGTGCGCTGCCACTGCGGCCACCACCAGCCCAGATGCTTGCATTTCAGACTGGGTTGTGCAAAAAAAAACCCGCCCCATCAGCCTCCAAAGACCCCTGTCGACCACACATGTTGTTGATGTTCCATGCACGCACCTGCCCGCTGGTCGCTGGGCCCGCGCCGATGCCGATGGTGGGTATGCTCAGCGCCTTGGTCACGGCAGCCGCGATGGGCCCCGGGACGCACTCAAGCACGATGGAGAAGCAGCCGACCGCCTGCAGCGCCTTCGCCTGGTGCAGCACGCGCATGGCCTCACCCGCGACCTGCGCCTGCGGGCGGAAGCCGCCTGGGTGTGCGGGATGGGATATGGGCCGCAGGGCCGAAGAGCGCAGGGAGTGCGGGGTCAGATTAGGAGGGCCGTGGTAACGAGAGGGCTCATGACGATTGAGGCGCCCCTGGATCGGCCAAGGGCCGCCACGTGTGGGTGGGGTCGCCGCGCGCGGTGATGACAAGCAGTGGGCGCAAAGGGGCAGCGCAACCTTTTGGGTGCGAAGCAGCATTGAGTGTTCTCCCCCATGACGCAATGTGGTGTGACGTGATGTGATGTGATGTGATCTCACCCAGGACGCTGACGGACTGTGGCGTGAGGCCCACGTGGCCCATCACGGCAATGCCCGCCTCCACGATCGCACGCGCCGCCTCCACGCGCGCCGGGCTGCCGCCTGGGCAGACGTGCACGTGCATGTGTCGTGCTGGGGTTTAGCGCACGCTCCCACGGTGTGCAAGGCACAGTTCTCGAGATTTGCTTTTGTAAAGCTGATGCATGAGCCCGGTGTCACCTCAGCAGGGGTCCACACAGCTCAGCGGGCCTCTCCCCTGCCTCCGTCACAGCATCCCTCCTTCAGCTGGAAGAGGCCTGCAATCAGCCCTTTGCACAACGCAGACGAGCTTCTGCTTTTCCACCAGGGCAGACACAACAACTGCCCCGTTCCCAGCTGACCTCAGCTTCCCCGCAGCTCCTCACCTTCCAGTTTGACGGCGTCCATGTTGCCCTCCTTGAGCATGCGCATGGCAGACCCCACGGCGTCCCTCGCCGACAGCTCGTACGATCCAAAGGGGAGGTCGCCCACCTGCGAAGGCAGCGGTAGCAGCAGCAAGGCACATGCAGGGGTTATGGGATGAGCTTGATCCTTGGGACGGGCGCCAGCCGCATCCCTTTCGCGGCCCCCCAGCCGACAGCAGTGGCGTCGAGGTCTCGAGCCCCCCATCCCATACACTTGTGGCCCCGACGGCATCTGCAATGGGCGCTCCCTGCAGCCCTCATTCCGTCCCAAAGGTCCGTTCGTTTCTCCCATCACATATTCTAGAGACACACACATACACACGTGCACACACACATGCATGCGCACGTGCACACAACACACACACATGCATGCGCACATGGACATACACACATACTCACACACACACACACACACACCAGGAACGCGCGCTGCGCGCCACGCGAGACGGATTGGCAGTGCGCCAGCATGTGGTCCAGGGTGATGGGCAGCGTGGTATCGTGGCCGTGGACGACCATAGCCGCTGAGTCACCTACGAGCAGGATGTCTATGTGAGCCTGGTCAACCTGCCAGGGTGGTAGCGGTAGCAGGGGACGGGCAGGTCGATGGGAGCTGGGCGCTCAGCGGCTGTGCTGCGGCCGGGAGGGGCTGCGGGGCTGGTCGCGCGTGCGTTGTTCGTGAGGGCAAGAGGGGGGGGGGCGCCTGAGGAAGCGAAGACGAACAGCCAGCCAGGACAGAGGCCAGGACCACCCCCGCCCCCCCCCCCCCCGCGCCAGCTGCTCGCCGGCGCAGCACGGTCCGGCGGCGCACGTGCACTGCTGAGGGGTAGTCGTAGGCGGTCGCCATGGAGATGGGCTCGCCGCGCTCGTACTTGGCGCGCAGCGTGCGCAGCGTAACCGACTTCACGGTTGGCTCCTTGGGGCCGGAGTATATGCGCTCATCGGGGCCCGCCGCTGCTGCTGCCGCGCGGCGCGCGGTGGCGGTGGCGGCAAGGGGCAGGGCGCGACCTGCAGCGGCATAAAGAGGTGGCGCGATGGGTGTCCAAAGCGCGCACCCCCCCAGCGCGACGGCGGCATGTTGGCAGGGGCGGCTGGCCGCCGCGCACGCACCAAGCAGTGCATTGGTAGCCAGCTGCCTCAAAGCTGCGATCATCATCTTGGCTGACTATATGCAGCGTTTGGGTGCAAACAGAGATCCTCTGCTGTTCAATGGAGTGATGTTGACGAAAGCTGGACGAGAAAGGCGTGAGACCGCAACGGAAGAAGCTCAATCCTGCAAGAAAGATCGCTTCTATCTTGTTCTTTAAATTCAGGTTCGTCACAGTTGCTGAAATGCGATCTGTGTCGCACAGCGCGGCCCCTCTGAGAGGATTTCAGCTGCAGCAACGGCGCCCTGTGTACGGTCGCAAAAATTTTGCTAGGCTGGTGGTGAATGATGCTAACAGGTGCGAATGTGCTTTCCGAGCTTCGGCGTCACTGGCAGTGACCGCAGCGCCGCCCTCTGCCCGCATTGGAGGCGCGAGACTGCGCACTGCTCTGGGGCGTGCTTGCGGCAGTGCATTATCATGTGCTAGCTGCCACCCGTCGCTTGCCAAGGCCAGACAGCATGCCGGGGGCGGCTAAACTGAGCAGTGGCGACAGGCTCATGAATGCAGCTGTGGCCCTGGTGCCGCTGTCGGTGCTAGCGCAGGCGCAACGTGCTGCTGACTGCCGGCAGCCTCCCAACAGCCGCTGTTGTCGGCGGCATGCTTGCGGCCGCGGGCGCCGTCGTGGCGGCGGCGTCGGCGTCGACGGGCGGCGGCATCTTCTCCAAAAACCCACAGCTGCTGGTGCGGCAGGGGATGCAGAAGTTTAGGAACGACGACGTCGAGGTGAAAATCACATCCTTGCGAATTCAACCGCGCACAGGGCCATTGGGGGGCAGCTGGGCCTGCGTGGCGTCACATCCCTCAAGATTGGCAGGAGGCCCGCGCCTGCCAGGACGGGTAACAGCAGCATGACAATGACATCTGGCTGCACAAGCCACGAACAAGTGGAACTGCGAGCGCATGTACATTACACACTCATGCGCGCGCACACACACACACACACACTTACACGTGCGCGCACACATACACACGTGCGCGCATGCATGCACGCATTCACGAACACATGCTCAGACACGCACACACACACGCACACACGCGCGCTCACACACTCACACACACACTTTTGAAATCGAAATTGTGAACTTATATCCATGCATGCACACCTCCACCAGGGCTCCATCGCCGACTTTGACTCGGCCCTCGCGGCCGACCAGCGGCTGCGGCCCTACCTCTGGCAGCGGGGCCTCTCCCTGTACTACGCGCAGCGCTTTGAGGAGGGCGCAAAGCAGGCAAGGGGGCCGGCCCTGCAACACGAGGCGGGGTGGCGCTCTTCTGGCTGGCAGGGGTGATAGCTCGCGCAGCTCCCCAGCCAGGGGCCGTCGGGCATGGGGCCGCAGCCGTGCAGCTTGATGAACTGCCTCAACGCGCGCAGCTTGTGGGTGGCCAAGCCCAATGTTCTGCATTCATTTCACCCCGCCCAGCCTACCCAACCCTGCCGCGACTCTCATCTGGCGCCTCCATCATGCCCCGCCTCCACCCTCTCCCTTGCCACGGCGGCCGTCTCCCTACGCATGACACCGTTGCTTGTAATCACCCAGTTCCGCGATGACGTGGCGGTCAATCCGAACGATACGGAGGAGAGCATATGGGCCTTCCTCTGCGAGGCCCAGCTAGAGGGGCCCGACGCCGCACGCAGCAAGATGCTGGTGGTGCGCCCGCGCGCGCCCTGTGCGCCCGCACGTCCCGGCTCGAGGAAGGGGCAGGGCCATGAAGCAGGGAGGCAAGGGCTGCCCCTGCTGCCAACGCTCTGGAGGCCGCTCCGCCCCTCGCACCCTGCTTTCGCCTCGGCTCCGCAGCTCTGCGGCCGCGCAGCGCTGCCTTTGACGGCGCCAGCCCCAAACCGCGTCGGCGGCGCGCGCCGCGCCCCGCCCGTCGCAGGTGGGGCGGGACTCGCGGCCCTACATGCGGGCCGCATACGAGGCCTTCAGGGACGGCCTGGGCGCCGACTCCATCGCAGCGGCCGCGGGGCCGGACCCGGACGCGGGGCCGTCGTTTTACGCGTGGATGTACGTGGGCCTGTACCATGAGGCGCACGGGGACGCAGCGTCCGCCAAGGAGGCTATGCTGAGGTGCGTTAACCTGGGTGCCTCCGGCGGCACCCCGGCCATGGCAGGGTGCCTCTCAACGGAAGGGCGTGCGTGGGAGGGGGGAGGGGCCGCAGGGGGTGGCGGAGTGGGGTAGGCAGGGTTTTTGGGATGTTCACAAAAAGATGCAAGCAGATTTGTTGGATTCAGAGGCAGGTGATCGAAAGGAATTCCGGAATGCACGGCTCTCTGTGCGTGTCTGTGGGTTTGGGGAGGGGGGGTGCAGTAAATGGAGGTGAGTGCTTGTGTGCACGTGAGCAAGCCATCGTCCGCAGGGCCTGTATTCGCGACGCCTGCAATCAACAATGAGCAATCCTGAATGAGCAGTAGCACGTTGGCCCGCATCGTGGCTGCCGCGCTGAGCAGGCCATCTGTCCTGGGTCGCGTCCCAGTGCATCCCTGGTGCAGCGCAGCGAAAGCCCCTGCCTTGCTCGCATGCCCCTCACCAAAAAGCGCAACCGTCAACTTTATCGTGCAGGGCGGTGCGGACGCGGTATGCGCAGCAGAGCGGCGACTACATGGCGGACCTGGCGCGCGTGCACTGCAAGCGGCGGGGCTGGGCAGATGCGTAGGCCAGGAGGGACTGCGTCAAGTTTGTAGGTGCTTAGTTGTTGTAGGCTCTTGATTGAGGCTGCGTAGAGCTCGGCCCATTGCCAGGCACGGTGTTGCCAATAAGTGAACGACATGGCGTTGAGGATACTGACGGCCTGCAGCTTGCACGTGCAGGGCTTGGAGTTGGTGGTGCGGTGCGGCAGCTGGGTGCTGATGGGCGCAGGGTGTGTTGACTCGCAGCATGATAGCGACTGTGACGTCCCTGTGGCAGATGAGGTTTGAAACAGGACCGTTTATCAGGTGCACCAAACTACCGCACTGGACTCATCCACCAGCAACATTACTCTTGTCTACCGCACCGCACAGGTACATCTTGCATCCCAGGCGTGGTGATTCGCCCAGTCCTGCTAAATATGCGTACTCAGTCAGGCATTTCTCAACATGATACTCTTTCACAGGGCTTGTTCATTTCTCAGGATGGCGGGTTTGAACGGCTACGGACGTGGTCCAACCGCCCGTGGATCGGACTAGCCCTTGCTGGCCTGTATCCAAGCTACGTGCAAATCCCTTTTCTAATGTCGATCCACTCTATCAGATGCGGCTCCGCGGCTCATGCGGCGCCTTTTGCATCGCATCACTGCCGAGAAGGCCCTCATACAAATGGCCTAGCAGCGAGGCCGAGTTTTGCAGCTTTCACTGCGTCGTCCCAACTTTCACAATTATTCAGCAGCCACATACTGAACCGAGTATCTTCAAGTGACGCCGAGTCTATTGAGCAGCCTCTTGCTAGGTACCGCCCTTACGCCACGCCCCGCGGGCCGGCACTCCTCACACCCGCGAACTAGCCGCGGTATACGTGAAGAGAGACAGTGTGAAAACTTGCTGCGATGGGCCAGCTGCGGCAAACCTTGCATGAGGTCAACGGGCTGACCGCTGAGCGACGCAAGCAGCTGATGGACGAGCGCCAGCAAGCCGGCGAATACCTTGGCCCCAGCGGCAGCCCCTTCGCATTCACAAACGCTCAGGTGCGGATGCGCTCACATTGTCGCGCTGCGTTGCGTGATGCAGCCGACCTGCCCCGCACGATGCAGCGTCCAACATAGGGCGGCCACATGCGCGTCGGCACTTGGGTGTGTGTGTGTGTGTCTGGGGGTACACCTCGTGACCAGTCATTCGCGCTCGCTGCCCTGCAGGGCCACGAGATTGCAGCCTACTTGTGGCCTGTGGCTAGGCCTAAAGGCGTAATTATCCTGGTCCATGGGCAAGGTGCGGGAAGGGAACACACATGGACCGCTATCACCGCTGCCGCCCCAGTCGCGCTCTGTGAGGTGTTCATGGGGCAGAAACATTCAGTCGGCTGCAAATTTTGGCCTATGATACACACGTGTTTTGATGCATGTATGCACACACAACCGGCCCCCACGAACCTGTGGGCAAGCCACAGACAAAACTCGAACTGGGTCCTCTGTCTTTGCCCGATCCGCCAGGGAGCTACTTGGTGTATGAGTACGGCCGCAGCGCAGGGGTTGGCCGCCCCAAGCTGTATGATGGCAGCTGGATCCACTCCATGAACGACGCAGGCTACAGCGTCGCGGGTGAGCTCTGGGGCTGCTCACGCCTAGGCAAGATAGCCTCCATTGCGAGCGCCGTAGGACGCAAGGCCATGAAGACCCGCAGCGCGGCAGCGGGCGCAGGTGGCACGCAGGTGGCACCCACGTCCTGCGCCATCCATCCTACAATTTGCCTCTCTGCTGTGTGCAGGCATCGACAACCAGGGTGCGGGGCGCAGCGGTGGCCTTTTCGGCTACATTGACAGCTTCAGCCACCTGGTGGATGACATCATTCACCTTTGCAAGATCCTGCAGGCGTCCGGCGCGCCCGATGGGTTCGGCGCATCGCTGCCATTGTTTGGCGTCGGCGTCAGCATGGGCGGTGGCATCGTCCTGCAGGCTGCCATGCGCAAGGTCAGTGTGCGCTCGGTGTTTGAGAGGGCATGCGTGTGTGAGTGTGAGTATGTGTGTATGTGTGTGTGTGTGTGTGTGTGTGTGTGTGTGTGTGTGTGTGTGTGTATGTGCTCGCGCGTGCACACACGGGCGTGGGCGTGGGCGCGCACAAAAGTGCGAATCAGAGAGCGTATGTACGCTTGCACACAGATGGCAATGCTGACCGGACAGCATTGGCATTGCTGGGTGGGTGCTGCGTAATGAACGCCTCTGCGATCCACACAGTGCTTTGTGGATCTACACACTGCTTTGTGTCTGGCACAACAGGCAGTGGTGCCGATGTGTCTGGCGGGGTGCCGGCCCAAGTAGCCCCTGCGGTGCAGCGAGACGCATACCGCAGCCGGACACCTTGACGTCTTGTGCATACTTTGTGACGTAGTTCTATTTACGCATGCTCCTGCGTCCGCAGAAGGCCCTGTTCCAGGGTCTCGTGCTGCTGGCACCCATGCTGTCACTGGAGCGCGCCAAGCGGGCTCCTGGCAACCGCATCCTGCTGTGGGTGCTGGCCATGCTGGCTGACAGCTCGGCACGGGGCGTCGCGCCCTGCGTGCAATTTGTCGTGCTGTGAACACTGGGAAACCGCAGGCGCGCATGCAGAGCAGACGCAGGCGTGGTACTCACAACAGGATCAGCCGCAAGTCAGTTGCTCAGTTGCTGCGAGCTCAGTCAGCCCCAGGCGTTGACCGTCGCGCCCCTTTCGGCCTTCCGCCACCGCAGGCCCATCAGCAAGGCGCTGAGCGCTGTAGTGCCCACGTGGCCGCTTATCAAGACGGCCCGCAACCCGAAGTTCCCGGAGCTTGCGCAGGACTGGTGAGACTCGTCTTGCTAGCATCAGTTGCCGGCGCCCCACCAAGCACTACCGCACGGCAGGCTTGCTCTGGCGGCGCGCACCGACGCCACCACTTGCTCTGGCGGCACGCACCGACGCCACCACATGGTTGCAAATGCCCGAATACACCATGCCGGCAATTCAGTAGGTTCTAAAGCCTGCTGAACCTTTCCTCGTTGCGCAATCAACCCGCAGGGACCTGGACCCGGCTGTTTACCACTACCCGGTCCGCATCCGCGTTGGCACGCAGCTGCTGGCCGCCTGCGACTGGCTGGCGCCGCGGATGGAGGACGTCGAGACGCCGCTGCTTGTCTTCCACTCGGAGCATGACCCGTGAGCGCTTGGTGGCGGCGGCAGTAGCAGCGGCAGCAGCAGTAGGAGCAGGAATTTTGACATGAACAGATCAGAAGAAGGCAGCAAACGCCAAGCAGCAACACATTCTAAATGCAGGGGCAGCAGCAAGAGCAGCTACAGTAACAGACAAAGACTCAATCAGGAGCTTCAAATTTAAACTAGTACTTCAAACCCAATATCACCCAGATTTCAGGACGCACAGCTGCCAATCACCTCTCTTACGGACCCCCAATCCTGACGCCTGCAGGCTGACCGACCCCGACGGGTCAAAGGCGCTTGTCAGCCGGGCACGCTCCACCGACAAGACTCTGCGGGTGGTCAACGAATTCTGGTAGGTGGCGCACGAGGTGGACAGGCAGAGGCTGCGTTTGCTGCAGGGCCCGGCCTGTCGAGGCACGCGTGCTCGCGTGCAGATGCTCCGAAGTGGCAAAGCCAATGAACAAATGTGCATCCGAGCTGCTCAGTTGATGCGCTTGCGCACACTCATACCCATTGATGCGTTCCCTGGCTTCCCGCTCGGACATTTGTAGGCCTGTATGGCTCACACCCGCCCCTCTCATGCACCGCCGCAGGCACCGGCTCACCCAGGAGTCTGGAAACGAGGTTCTGCTGGCGGAGGCGCTCGAGTGGATGGACTTGCGTGCCGGCGAGGCCGCCGGCACCACCACCTGCTGCATCAGGGCCGGGCACGTCGTGTCATGAGGAGGGTGCCGCATAGATGGCAGCAACCATCGAGGATCTTCGCTCATGGATCAGCTCTGGAGAACGGAGATGATGGCGGACCACGAGGCGTCGACGGCCCGCGCCGTCTGCCCTGCATCGATTGCAGGGGCCCTGTTCTCAACAATTTTGACCTGCACGGTTCCGTCTTAACACATTCCAACCAGCCGTGCTATTAGCTTTCCAGCGCAGCTGTTGAGCCGTTGAGTGCGGACCTGAGGCACTCTCGGCTGTCCCCTTGCATGCAGCTGCACACTTCCTCCCCCCGCCCCTGTCTGGGAGTGGAGGTTTTGGACCCACAAGTGGAGCGCTCCGCCTTGTTACCTTGCGTGTATATGAGAACGCCCGGCGCGGTTGCTGGCGCACTTTGCCTACTACACTTGCCAGCCACGACGGCCTGTGCACCTGCGCCCCTGTTCAGAGGGACACCCCTGTGAGAGAACTCGAGCGGTGGCCTCGTTCACGTGAGCGACGTGCGCACAATGCGCCACGCGAAGCTGAGCGCTTCTGCCTCCGCGCGTGCCGCGCGGCCTCGAGTCAGTCCGTCGACAATTGTACCGCTTCTCAGGGTGTTTGTCATCAGTTGTACCGCCCTGCGCCTCTTCAATGTACATGACTGATCTTGGGCAGTACAGCTGCCAAGGTCCAAAACAGCATGGCGCGACTGGTGGCTTGTGAGCGTGTCCCCACTGGCGCGATTGTGGGGCCCGCTGCTCTGCAATAGATGCACATTTGATGACGCATCCCGTCCCTCAACGCCCTAATGCCTGTCAGCAGGCTGTCTCTTGCGCGCACTTCACCAATGTTGCCGCTGATGCCGGCTAATCTGCCGTTGCCAGCCATGGCAGCCAGGTTGATGCAGTGTGACTGGGGCGCTGTGCGAACGGCGCCCGCCGCTGCCACACGTCCTTTGTAAGGGGCACTGGGTCGAATATCTGTTCATATGATGCGATCTGTGCGTTACCCTGTCACGCAGAGCTGCTGCCTGGTCCCCTGCACAGCGTGTGGCATGTCGACAATGTTTTGTTGTGTGCTCTGTCCACGCTTGATGTGGCCCGATGCAGCAGTTTGCAGAGCTGTGAGAGAGTGCCGGTCCCTCCACTGTTAGTTGGCAAAGGGGCATGGGTGTTAATGGGGGCATACGGCAGGCGACTTCCAGGTCTACAGCAGGGCAGGGGGTTGCTGTCTGAAAGTCCGTTGATGTGAATCTAGTGCTGGGCATGTGCCTAGCACGCTGAGAGTCTTAGAACTGTGGCAGAGTTTGGGATAGAAGTCCAACAAGGTGTTTGAGCGACTACACAGCCCCAAGGATTGGAAGCATGCCTTCATCCCGCTGACCAGTGAAATGACATTGCTGTCAGCCCAAATAACCCCGCCTCTGCAGGTTCATCGATTGCCAGCCTGTGTGACAGCCACGAAGGAATGGCGACCACCTAGATAATATTTCAATGTGCAGCCAATTATGTGAAAGTCCTAAGTTTGAAACACCCTCCTGGAAAGCTCCAACAGTGCAGTTGTCCTTTGATATGGTATAAACGCCTGGCAGTTTCGTGCGTGTGCATGCATGTGAGTGGGTGCACGTGCATGCACGTGCCAGCGGTAGTGCGGTACAGCCTCTGATTGATACATTCTGCAAGGAATGATATCGGTGTCTGCAATAGCCACCAGCAGGCTGCTGCTGCGGCCACCACCTGCGCGCGCACCCGAAGGAAAGCGACTGCAGGATGGCAAGTTGGCAACTGCTTCCCGTAAGTTTCGTTGGCCCTTGCGCCTTGAAGAATTCACCTGCCGAAAAATTACGTGTTTGAGAAGGAATGCGCTGTTGCCAGCCCAGAAAATTTTTGCAACTTGGCTGATCATAACCGTGATCTGCGGTATAGTGTAAGGCCTTCAGCGACCAGCGGAACCACCAGGTGATCTGGAGGGTGTTATAGGACAGTCTCTATGGCACAGGAAGCGGACAAAAGCAAGGCCGCGCCAAAGGACGCCTCTCTTGAGGAGGACGATGCCTTCGAGGAGTTTGCATCGCATGGTAAGATACAGACACCGCTTTGTACCTCTCACGATGATCACCGGCTCCGTCACGGTGTGAGCCGAACGCGGCGCTGCTGCACTCATCTGACGCTGCTGTGCTGCGTGCGCGCCAGTCGCACCACCCCCGCACGGTTGCTTGCCCTGGACGCATGCGTTGTTCGCAAGCATGCGCCAAAGTTGCTAATTTCCGGCTGTATAGCAATGCTCCCGGGGTGGGTGGTCGGGCACCTCGAGTCAGCCACGCAATCACTAGCTCTCTAGCTGCACCCCCGCCCCCTCCACACCCGTGCACCCTGCAGTTGTGAAGGACGAGGCCCACGCGGCGGATGAGGAAAATCAGGAGCTGTGGCAGGCTGACTGGGACGACGAGGAGGTCGGGGAGGACTTCCAGCAGAAACTGCAGCGGGAGCTGGGGCGCCACATGAAGGAGTAGGGAACTGCAAGACCGTCTATCTGGCATATATCTATTATCTACACGTGGTGGCCTTAGCAGGCAGCAGGGGCATGCAAGGCAAGTGCGGTCGTACTCAATGTTTCAGCGGCTGGCGGCCAGCATGTGGGTTGCGCCATACCTTCAGACAAGCTGATGCGCCCCAATCCTGCACCTGTGCCGAACTTCATGACCGAGTAAATGTCTCTTTACAGACTATGTGGCAGGTCATAGTCCCTTGGCTGCAGTGGCTGGTTGCAACTGTTCCAAACCACCCCGGTATAGGTACAAAGGTGAAAACACACCAAGCAGCACAGGCATGTTGCAGCCCGGCACAGCAAGACAAGACAAGGATCAAACAATCGCACAGCAGCATCAGCAGCAGAAAAATCAGCCGCCACCCGTGGCGCCCGCAGCGCTGCTGCCCTGCTTGGCACTGCCTTTGCCAGCAGTCACGGCCTTGCCCGTGCCGCCCTTGCCGGCCGCCGCCAGCGCCGCGGCCTTTGCAATCTGCTGCTGCAGAAAAGCGGCCTTGAGCTTCTGCCGCTTTGCAGCGAGCGCCGCGTCACGCGCCTGCTTCTGTTCCTGCGCCCTCTCCCTGCCGGCCTCCGTCTCCGCCGTCATCCCGAGCACGGTTTCCTTGTACGCCTGCCGCCGCTCCGACTCGACTCGCTCGATCTTCTGGCGTGCCTCCTCCTCCTCCTCCCAGCGCCGCCGCTCGCGCTCCCTGGGCCACGTTCGTGGAGTGGTGTGACAGCAACAACAGGCAAGCGTCGGCAACGGGGTCAGACCGGCTGCGGCATCCAAATTGAGCAATCACAGAGCAGCAAGTCAAATCCACTGGACTTCCAAAGACAGGGGCACCTCCCTTTGCTCGTCGCTTGCTGCCCCCCCGCAAACTCAAGACAAACCCCCAGTCCCTCCCAAAAAGCCCTCCAGAAGGCACGACCCCCACCTCCACATGTCCTCAGACATCATGCCGCCCCCCGACCCCAGCGCCGCTGCCGACGTGTCCACCGCGCCCCCCTCCCCAGCTGCGCGGCGCCGCCGCGCCTCGTCGCGCTCCTCAAGCCAGTCCCCGGCCCCGCGGCGCTCCTCGTCGTCCAGCGTGCCCTTTGCCACAAAGTCAACCTTTGCGAATGGTCCCCAGATTCGGCACGTGACAGGGTCGGGAAGGGGAGGGGTTCAGGTGGGCGAGCAACGGCAACAGGAGGGCAGCTGCCACCCCTGGCCCATAACACCCTACCACATGCATGCCTGCACGCGTGTGCGTGCGCGCGCACACACACACACACACACACACACACACGAGCGCGCACATCCGCGCAAACACACACACACACACAAATGCACACGCGTGCAAACACGCACACACACACACACGCGCGCGCACTCACACACTGAACGTGCACAGCTGCATGAGCAAGGTAAACGCCTTCCACGGCGGCACACATCAAACATGGACACTGAAACTCTCGTGCCCGGACGGCAGTTGCAACCGCACCCGTCCCCCTTGCGCCCCCAACAGCCCCACCTCATACGCCTCGCCCTCGTCCTGCGCCTCTCCCCTGGCCAGGCGCCCGTACAGCGCCGCCTTGCGCTCCAGCGCGGCCGCGCTCTCCGCCAGCCGCTCCGACCCGTCCGGCGCCGTCTGCTTCAACGCCAGTCGGTCGGCGTTGGCGCGCGCGGCCACGCCGTCGTTGCTGCGCTGCATCAGCTGGGACACGTCGAGACCTGGTGAAAATGCGGGCGGGTGGAGTGGGGCAGGTTTGGGTGAGGATCATTTGAGATGAGGGCAGCAAGGAGGCGAGATGCCGCTGGTCAGTGCAGCGCTGGAGCATGAAGACGCGCCGTGGCCTGCCCTTGCCGCTGATGCGACTCGCCAAACCGCCATGTGCGCGCGCGGCGTGCGCACCCGCTCGCCGTCGCACGTGCTTGTCGCTGGGGTCGAGCCCACCCTCCTTCCACTGCGTTACATGCTGCTGCGTGCGGTACAGCTGCGCCTGCAGCTCTACCACGCCTGTGTCGCCGACGCCTGCGGGGGTTGCCAAGGGCGAGCCAACGCGAGCGCACGGTGAGTGCAGACCGTTATCTGCATGCAAGTCGCCAGAGCCTGGCCTCCGCAAGCACAAACTGCTGGACAAGGTCATTGGATATCTCATGCAATGCGAACAGTGAGCCAAGCGAGACACGAGCATCCAGTGCGACAAGGCCAGCAGCAGCGCTGCCGCACTCTGCTCTCACCCTCGATGAGGCGCCGCTTTTTCGCTGGCACCGCGCTGCTAGCGAGCCAGCCATAGTTCTCCCTCTCTGCGGGCTGCGCCGTCTCCTTGCTCTCCTCGCCATGCTCCATCCCGTTCTGGCCGCTGGCTGCAGGGAGGTCTGCCCCCGGGAAGCCAAAGGTTGTATATGGGGCATTGTAATCCTTCCAATTTATACCTACCGTACACAACGCTGCAACCACATTGCTGTAGATCGCGAGTCACCGGGACAAGGCTTGCTGACCTCACGCCTGAGCAACAAGTGACGCTGCACTTTGGAAGTAAAATTGCGGTCCATGGAATTAATCAGGTTGCGTACTCCCCTTTTCTCTGGCTAGGTTGCGATCCCGCGCCTGGGACAGCGCTCATCAAGCACAAAATTTGTCCGTCGCACCGGCCCTGCCCTGCACACAATGTCAGCAGCGCGCTTAGAGCGTCTTCATGAGCGTGTGCATCAGACGGCCCAGCCCCAGCGGCCACCGCGAGGGCTCGCGGTGCCCCTGCGCCGCCTGCCACGCAGCGCTCCGTTGAGCAGGCCGCCGCGTGCAGCCCCCCCAGACTCTGACCGAGCAGTCCAAACAGCGTCCACGCCTCTGGATCAGCGTCCGGCGTCAACACGTGACACGAACGATGGCAGCAGCAGCAGCAATGGCAGCAGCAACGGCTTCGGCGCCGGGGTCTCGCCCCAGGCCGACAGCTTGGGGGCCCGCCTGGAGTGCATCTCCACCGGAATGGATGTCATGTGCATGGTGGAGCCCGAAGAATCACGGGGTGGGAGTTCTGGACCGCAACAGCAGCAGCCGCAGCAGCAGCAGCCGCAGCAGCAGCAGCAGCAGCAGCAGCAGCAGCAGCAGCAGCAGCAGCCCGAGACGCAGCGGGAACCAACTGCTTTTGGCGGCGCAGCAACGGGTGCTGGGACGCCGCTGGAGCAGCTGCTATCTGTGGCGTTCCTTATCGCGCCCTTCTTCTTGTGGGGAACGACCATGGCTGCCATGCGGGTGAGATGCTCTTGCAGCGGCAACCTGGTGGCGTATATGTTGCCGTGCGCAGTGCAGCTCATCTTTTCCCGCGATGTTGGGTTAACTAGCAAACATGTGGTCTGAATGCTCGGCCCAGCCTAGCGGTCCATCGACATGCACTCAGCCCTGGATCCCAAACCCTCCGCCCCTCCCTTGGCCCGCGCGCGCCCGCCAACGCCCCTCGCAGCCCGTCACGGCGCACACCACGCCGCTGTTCATGGGCGCGCTGCGGCTGCTGCCCGGCGGCCTCGCCTTAGTCGGCTGGGCGGCAGCCAACGGGCGGCCGCAGCCGTCATCCGCGATCGCGTGGGCTTGGGTGGCCGCGTTTGCCCTCGTCGACGGCGCCATGTTCCAGGTGCGAGCAGGCGGATGGATCGAGGCTAGCGCATGCCGCGATGACGCCCACCGCTCGCCGCCTAGGTATCAATGCGCTGCGCATTTCCGCCCAGGCAGCTGCAGGCACTTCCCACTCTGCTTGTTACATGGCCGCATGTGCTCTCGGGGACCTACCTGATCCCGCACGCACCTGGACGCGTGCACGCACCTGTGCCTCTCATCAGGGCTTCCTGGCCGAGGGCCTGCAGCGGACCTCTGCCGGCCTCGGCAGCGTCATCATCGACTCCCAGCCTCTCACGGTGGCGGTGCTGGCGGCGCTGCTGTTCGACGAGCGCCTCGCGCCCGCGGCTGTCGCGGGGCTCTTCATCGGCGTCGCGGGTGGGCGGCTGAACCGGATGTCAGGCTTGCCAGCCATCGCCGCTGCTCCCCTGTGTTTGTGGTGGCAACGGCCTGCTTTGGCGCTGTCGGGCCCATGCCACCACCCTTGTATCGACACGCAAGCAAGGGGCTTTCCGCAGCAGCCGGTGACGCGTACGCGCGCTGCCGCGCTGGCACGGCCCTGTCATCCCCGCAGGCCTGCTGCTGCTGGAGGTGCCCCAGGAAGCCGTGCAGCAGCTGCTCTCCCAGGGCCCCGGCGCGCTATCTGACCTGGCGGCGCTCGTGCCCAGCTCGCTGGGCGGCGGCAGCATCTGGGACAGCGGGGAGTGGTGGATGCTGCTGGCGGCGCAGTCGATGGCTGTGGGGACAGTGATGGTCAGGTGCGTGAAAGCGGGGTGGCAAAGATTGTGGCGCTGACCAGGCGCGGGCGGTGGGAGCCAGCGTGGGGAGCTTGATCCATGACTTGTGGTTGCACGCTGGTGCGGGAACGCACCGCACCCCGCCTCATGCGGAGGCACTCGCCGCCGCCGCCTTTTGCGGGTCCGGCCTCAAGGTGCTTGCCCGCTCAGCTGGCGCAGCGCCCCCACGGATGTGAATTATCACTCGTGTATGATCACACACACACACACACACACACACACACACACACACACACGCACGCACGCACGCACGCACGCACGCACGCGCTCACGCGCTCCCCCTGAACGCCTTGCGACCCAGATGGGTGATGCGGCACTGCGACCCCGTCATGGCGACAGGCTGGCACATGGTCCTCGGCGGCGCCGGCCTCCTGGCGCTGTCCCTCGCAACAGACGGCCCCGTCCTCGCGGAGCGCCTGCAGGGCTTCGGCGCCGCCGACGCGGCCGCGATGGGCTACGGGTCGCTGCTGGGCGGCGCGGCCGCGTACGGCATATTCTTCTACAACGCGACACAGGGCAGCCTCACGGCGCTCAGCAGCCTCACGTTTTTGACGCCGATGTTTGCCGCGGTGAGTGGGCGTGGACTGGGCGCCCGCTGTGGCGGGGCTGCGGCGCGACGGGGCGGCGGGGTGCACTGGAGCTTGTGACCGCGTGGCGTAGTGCCGTCCTGCTGACCAGCCAGATTGAGGTTTTCCTGACCTGTCAAGAAGAGGGCGTCGCAATGGTACGTTGCTGGCCTGTGTGCTATGCCATCCCACGCCAGCCGATTCCTGCATCACCGCTGAAGTGACCCCGCTCCCGCCGCCCCCGCGCCACCTCACCCCCTCCCCTCCCCGCAGGGCGCCGGCTATCTCGCGCTCGGCGAAACGCTGACGCCGGTGCAGCTGGCGGGTGCCGGGGTGACGCTGTTTGCGGTCTACCTCATTAACAACCGCTCGGCTCAGTGATGGGGCGAGCCGGAGCATTAATCAAGAAAGAAGAACGAACGGAGGACTGCTCAGCGCCCAGCCGGGCGCGACACGTGACTGGGCGCTTGTTCAGCGCGTGAGCTTGCGCGTATTGTTGGCGGCTGCAAGGAATTTTTTGAGAAAGGGAGAGTGGTTGAGGAGCTGAGGCGTGACGAGCGAGCGCAAACCCGAAACCAAAGCCCTGAGACAGCTGCAGCATCCTGTGGCTACGGGCCCGGCCCCTTGCCAGCCGCCGCCCTTGTGTAATATATGCTGGCGTGCCCTCCCCAAGCATTGCGTTGGGAGTGCCGTTGGGCAGCACTGTTATTCTGAAACCCCCCCTGCGCAGCCGTCCAATCTGCCTGGCTCCCCCTTTCTTCGGCCAGCATCATGCCTCAGAGCGTCGCAGACAGACTCGAATCTCTTTGCCGGCGAGGGTCCCCCAACTGTCCCAGCATACCCCCATGCCGTGACCCAATCCTGCACTTGACAGCCGCCAGGCGCGTTACAGGTGGACGGTCCGGCCCCGCCCCCTCGCTCCCGCAGCAAGCAATCGCTCCTGCTCTGCGGAACACTCATGCGGAATGCACGCGTTCAAAATAGCGGGCCAGAGGCCAGCAACACACTGCCCCAATGGGGTTGAAAAAGCAGCCGCCCCTGAATTGGGCCGACACGGGGCTTGCGGGTCCTCAAGCTGCAGCCGCTGCCGAAGCAACCAGGTGCTTAGTACACCTCCACGTGCCACTGGTTCTCTGCGGTGGGGCGCAGCGCGGGCAGCAGGGTTGAGGAGGGGCGGCTGGTCAGCAAGGGTGGTTGGCAGCAACATGGCTGGCCCCCAGCGGTTTCACCTCCTGCCGATCATGCGCCTGTATAAGGTCCAAGCCACTGTCATGTTGAGTCGCTGCCAGGATGACTGCAGGAGGCTGTCAAGGGTGTCTCAAGTCAAAACATGTCGGACCAGGACGTGCCAGGTCAGCGATGACTCACTGTGCTTGAGCTTCTCGGCGAACTCCTCAAAGTTGAGGCCCTTGGCCTTGGCCACGCGCTCGAGCATGGAGGTGATGCCGGGCATCATGCCCTTGAGGCCGCAGAAGTAGATGTGGGCGCCCTCGTCCAGGAGCTTGAAGATCTGGGGGGTTGGTGGGGAGACGGTTCGGGGATCAGTACAAGGTTCGACTTGTGCCGGGTGTCGACGGTTGAGTGGAGGCAAGTGATGGTGTGGTGGCGGCCAGGACGGGGTGGCGAGTCGGGGCCGCATGTGGTACAGCGCGTCAAGGTCTTCAAGGAAATGCAGTGCTTGTTTCCTCGCTGAGTGTGAGCTGAGGGGTGCGATCTGCCAATGGGCTTTGCACGAGCCGCCCACCCCGGCTCCATGGCTACATGGCACGTGCGCAGCTCCGTGCGCCAAGTCGCACTGTCAGCAATCCGCCGCCACTGATCAACCCGCCATTCGGTGCGTCGTTTGCAGCCTCTACCCCCCAATCAGTCGACCGCAAAGCAGCATAGCGGCGGGCGGGCGACGCACTGGCGTTGTCGCCTCGCGAGCCCCGCGCGCGGCACCTGCATGCTCCTGCTCTATGTAAAAAAGCAACAATAATACAAAAAGAGCCACTCACGATGTCGGCGTACTCCTCCACCTTGTCCTGGATGTACATCTTGCCGCCGCTCTTGTTCTTCTGCTCACGCGACAGAGCGTAGTCCACGCGGAAGTTGTCCGGGTAGGTCGCCTTGATGGCCTGGGGAGATCACAAGATTGCAGCAATTTTTTATTGCAGTTTCAGTAGGTTGAAAGTCGGCGTATCGTCAAGTTCGAAGGGCGGAAGCCAGCAGGCCTGATGGAGGCGAGACGGCCGGCGCGCCGCACGTAGGGGGGCAAGGCAGCCGGGTGGCGCATGCCCAGTTTGCGCCATGCGTCACACTACCCGGCGCGCGCGCACCTGGATCTCGTCCTCGTAGAGCAGGCTGTCGCTGTTGGCGACACCCATGAAGAGCCAGAAGAGGCCGTCGAACTTCCAGCCGGGGACGTTCTCGAAGAAGCAGCGGCGCCAGAAGGAGCGGAAGGGGGCGATGCCGGTGCCGGTGGCCACGCAGATCAGCACGGACTTGGGGCTCTGCGGGTGGAGGGTTGGTGGAATTGTAGAGCCAGGTGTGGGTTGCGTGGGTGGGTGCGTGGGTCTTGGGTAGGCGCGGGCGTGTGGGGTGCGAGTGCCCCTTGATATAGTCGCTCTGTGGCTGTCTCCGCGTTTGTCTGACTGCCTCTTTGTCTGCTGTGGGTTTCAAGCAGCAGACACACACAGACACAATGTCATCGTGTGCGTTCGCGCGCACAAACACACACACACACACACACACACACACAAGAGCTCATACCCACTCTTGCACACACACACACACCACACACGCACGCGTGCCTACTCACACCCACACACACACACACACACATCTTTGCACGCTTTGCGCATGCACACGCCTGCGCATACACCGCGCGGGCCCCTCACCTCGGGCAGCAGCAGGACCTTGCCGGCAGGGCCGGTCATCTGGATCTGAGTGCCGGGCTCGGCGTCGCACAGGAAGTTGGAGCAGATGCCCTTCTTGGCGGGGTCCTCCTTGCCTGGGACGCGGAGGACGCGGTTTCACGGGGCGGCCGTGGGGGTTGGGGTGGAGGCAGTGGGCGAGGGAGGGGGGCCTGCGAGCGCACCGCGCGAGCAGTGGGCAGCATCAAAATCCGCCTCCTGCCAGCAATCCCGCCTCCTGCCGGCAATCCCGCCTCCCCTGCCATCCCGCCCGCCGGCGGCGTGCCCGAGGGACGCCGGCAGCTGCGCGGCCGCAACATCGCCACAATTGTGTTCTTCTGTCCCCAACCATTGGCGCGCCAAAAACACAGTGTTGCGTGGCGGCCCCCGCTGCCGTTCTCACCGGTCTCGGGGTCGACGTACACGGCGCGGCGCACGCACAGGGTGGTGGTCTTGCCGTCAAAGGTGTCGCCGTAGCGGGACGCGGCAATGGAGTACAGGCGCACGCCGTGGGGCACCTCCTTGCCCTTGCTGTTGATCTTGGTGCCCTGCGGGACGCAGGCAGAGCAAGGAGCGGGGCAGTTTGCAGAGGTTTGTGCATGTAAGTGTGTGCGTGTGTGTGGGGGGGGGGGAGAAGGCACGGCCGCTCGCGCCACCGGGCCGATGAGCAACGTTATGGACGGTGCCGGCCGCTCGCGTCATGGTGCGGCTGGGCCCTCGTTCCTGGCCTGGCAGGGCTCAATGCTGGGGCCCCCTCGTTCAGAGCCCGGCCACATCCCCCCTCCACCCTTCGACGCGTCGCCGCCGCCACCACGCGACTGGCAGGACCGCCGCAAGACATGCCCTAGGCCGTGCCAGCTCGCCGCTGCCCGCTTCTGCAGCGACGCCCCACAGGCAATTGCTGCTTCGCTGCGTCGCCATTCCGGTCCTGCACATCTTCATGCTGGGAAGACGCCGCCGCCACCACACGCGCAAGCACGAGCCTCGGCGTCGGTTTCACAACCGCCCGTCGGTCGCATGCTGCCCCGCTGCCACTGCGGCCGCAGCCCGGGCCAGTCCCCATCAGCCGTGACTGCTCACCGGGGGGATCACGCCGTAAGACTGGCCCTCCCAGTAGGGGATGTCACCGTTGGTCTCGATCACAATGTCGCAGGTCTCGCCGGTGGCGTTGGGGCCAACGATGCGCTTCACCGACCTGATGGTCCCCGTGAAGGGCTTCTTGTTGCTGAAGGTGTTGAGAGGCATCTCGCCCTCCTCCAGCGCGAGCGGGACATTGGTACGCGTGAGCGTGGTCGTGGCGGCAGCACGGACCACGACCGCGCGGCGCGAGCCCGCAGTCTTGAAAGCGACCTGCGTTGAGAAGCATCGAGGTCAGCCGCAGCCCGCGCAGATAGCTATCGCGTACGAGCAGCAGACCCGGAAGCAGCGCCCCACGAAACTCACGCCGCGAGCCGCGGAAGCGTTGATGGTCTGCATGGGGACGAATAATTTGGGAGAATTGGGGGCAGAGGGGGTCAATGGGCTTGCCACGGCACGGGAGATCACTGGTTTCGCGAGCTTGGCGCTGTGGGCACACACCTGCATCTTGTGCTGCCTTGCTTAGCTACAAAATGTGGAACCGCAACAGAAAGGTGGATTGATCGACTGAGCTCGCGGCTTTGTGCGTGCGCCGAGAATGAAGTTAGCCACTAAACAGCCGTGCGCTGGTCGCTGCAGGGGCCTGGCCTCGCCCTTCCTGGGCACGCCACCGCATCCCATCCCCAGAACTGCACTTCATAAAGGTCAAATGACCTAGGTACACCCATTTTGAGGGATCTAGAACCAGGGCGGGGCCGTGCTGGTGCCAATGCGCCGCTCCCCGAACATGTGCCTGATATCGTACTTTACTCATCACTGCACTCCACAGACGGCCAGGTCACCATGGGCAACGAGGGGCCTTGCAATACCATCAAATAATGATGTTCTTGGCCTGGGACGTGACTTGTGCACAGACAATGGCTGGTCTGCAAGCAGCGAATGCAGCACAGGATCTGGCCCCCGTTGGCACCTCTGATTGTCTTCGTCTGCACGCAGGACTCGGTACGTCTTGTGACATCACGTGATGTCAGCAACAGCCTTGGCATCTGTGCGACCTGACAACTTGTATGCCGCTCACATGATCAGCTTGAGGTCAAGGGGCCGAGTGGCTGGGCCAAACCGAGGCTTGACCACCCCACCACTTCGCCCGTACAGCGCCCGCCTGAGACAAGGGGGCACACACTTCATCGGCCACGCGCCAACATAGCTACGCGTATGCCCCCCGGCTTGCACCGATACCGGTTGCTGCCCAAGGGCTGGGAGAGGACTGTTTATCCAGGCTACCCAACCAGCAGCTGCTGTTGTCTTCTGCACAGTTGATGTCAATGGTGGTCTTGCTGGGGGTGGCACAAGCCGCAAGGCGCAAAGGGGTGAAGGAGGCTGCTGTGGGTTCCTGCAAGCACGTGGTGCGCGTGGCAGGTGGGTGAGATGATCAGTGAGGTCCTGGCTGAGCAAGGCCGCAGCTGCAGAACGCCGTCCATGGTGGCCTGCGTCTGCCTGCCGGACACATCGAGCTTCGACTTGAGTTGGGTTGCATCACCAAGGCCCCCAGTGGGCCGTGCACCGCTCTTTTTCAAGGTGGTTGGTCCCAAAATTTCCAGGGTCGGTCAGGCACTGGCGTAAATCACACTAACAGTGGCAGCATCGATTGGAGAGTGGTTTGCCTGCAAGCAAACCTTCAAACTTGTGAAATCAGTTGTTGTGAGTGCATGTTGCCGTAAACAGTGCTGGTTCAAAGCGCTGGCAGCCAGGGGCTACTGTACCGGAAGCATACTAGCCGGGCCACGCAAGCCCGCAAGCCCGCAAGCGTATCTGAAACATGCACACGGTCAGCCGCCACCGATGAACCCAGCGGCTGCGTACCATATGTATTGCAATGGTATGATATATATGTAGTGTATCCTGGGTGACTGACGGTCAGTATTGCTCTCTGTTCGCAGTTCAGGACATCAGGAGTCTGTTCAACTGGGGAGCCTGCGCCCCGCGCCGCCCGAACGGTAGATCACAGATCACGCGGCGCTTCTCTGTATACATTGCACCCCTTTCACCACACCACGATCCGATCGCTCACTTGAGTCCATCCCAGCCCGAAGGTGTCTTGTTCGTGCGTGGGGCCTCGCCCCGTCATATGAGCTGAGCCGCCCATCCCCAGCCTCCTGTGAACAGCGCTTAGCATGTCCTGAAGAGACTCATCAGGGTGCGCGGATGCGAGCGGAGCAGGAGGAGTGAGCTGCACACCGAGGGCCCGAGCAGGCGCCAGGCACGACGGTAAGCCGATCATTGGGGCATGCGAGGGGCCTGAAGCGTAGTTTCGCTCGTCAGGGCCTGGGCACCAGGGCTCTCAGTGGTTTGCGGGCGACAGCGATCTGTTGCGCATGCAGCACGCAGCACGCCTGTGCCCCGCACAACGCTCTTCTGCGCCGCGCCGCCGCCGCGCCGCAACGCCCGTGCTCGCGACGCCCCCTCCCCTGCACCACAGATGATCTCGATCGTCAGCGTGCGGCTGCCGACGGGCGACACCCCCGTGTCGACCGTCACGCTCGAGCCGTATGTGCTGCTCAAGCGCGGCGAGACGGTCCAGTCCGCGGAGGACATGCCCTCGGAGGGCGACCCCGCAGGCGCCAGCCCCTGGCAGCTCCGCTCCCGCTGGTTCCGCAGCTCGATCCCGCGCGGCGGCGCCGTGTGCAGCGTGCACCCGGAGAAGGAAGCGACAATCCAGTGCACTGTGTGCCTGCGCTCCAAGGTGGCGCAGCACCTGTCCTACCACTGCTCGCCCGAGTGCTTCCGCAGCAGCTGGGCGCAGCACCAGGAGTACCACCGCCAGGCGGCCGCCAACTTCGGTGCGCGCCATGGCGCGCTTGGGAGTGCGTGCGCGCCGCGGGCGCGGGCGCAGGGCGGGCGCCGGTGGGGCCGGAGCGGCTTCTGGTCAGTGACGCGCCGTGCAAGGCCGCCATGAGGACGAGGGATGGTGGCAGTGCCACAGTCGCACAGCCTCTTGGGCAAGCAGACGTTTGCAGCTCAGGGGCTGCCGGCTGCTGGGCACACCCATGATCGCGGTCCACTGGCCCCCGCTCCAGCCTCCCCGTATTTCCCCGTCGCCCGGCGCCCGCAGGCCAGGAGAACGGCTATGACTCCGGGGTGAAGGGCAGCAGCACTACAATGAGCACCGGGGAGACCTGGGTCGAGGCGAGTGTCAAGACACGGGGCGACCCACGGTTGGGCCCAGGCAGGGGTGCTGCGCGTCAACGCCCGCACCTCGACCGCCTCTGTTTGTTGCATTGCGTGGCTCCTAACCCTGCTGTTGGTTCGCGCACCTCCGCAGCGGCCCTGGGACCCCGCAATGCTTGACCCCTCGTCCCTCGCCCCTCCCTCACGCACCCCCCGCCGCTCGCCGCACCCGTATCAACGCCGCCCCGCCAGGTCAGCCGCGAGCGCCGCTACACGCCGCAGCAGGAGGACGTCGGGTTTGTCCTCAAGTACGAGTGCTCAGTGATCGAC